AGTAGTTCCTGAAACTTCGCAGCTTGCGCGTTTTCCGAACAGCTACACACACGAGAATGTTTCCTGCCATGTTGAGCACTAGAATTAGAATGGATAGCGCCAGACGAATTACCAGCGATGGAAAAGGCTCGGGGACTTCAAGGCTGGTAGAGGGAGGCACTGTGGAAGGAATCATCTCTTTCACTGACAGAGAAACAGAAGCCGCGGAATTTTTCCAAGTTTCACTAGTGGTGAACGGAGAAGGTTTAACTGAGGTCATGATGTGAAATGAATGAACGCATCAGATCTTTGGCGTTTGATGTCCACTGTTATCATCAAATAAATCTTGAAGCCGCACTAATCTCGTACACGCAGCTACGCAAATGAGCACTGTCTACTTCTTGGCGGTGAAAACGACGTGAGTTGGTTACTTGTGTCTGTTTCAACACGATATGGGTGATATTAACCTGAACTCGGCGGTGAAATTCGACTCAGCTGAAGCGCACGATTTTGATCGATTCGTTATCTGCCGCATCAAGTCAATATTCAAGTGTGTCGCGTTCACAATGTCGCGATTGACAGGAGAACTTAGAGACGTGAGGGATTTACTTTTTTGACAGCTTAAGCCGCGATGATTTGTCTAGCGAATAATTAACGCAGAGATCTTCCGCAGGATGAAAAAGGCCACATTCACAGTGAGAGATCCAATATGAGTGAGGAGTTCAATTTGAATGATGTTAGCATTGATGCTAATGAACAGAAAATTAAAGTCAACAAACACGTTAGATTTTCTTAAAAACACTCTACCTCTCGTCACCTTAGGGACCAAGTTGCTAGTGCTATCAAGGGGTAGGGAAACTAAACGCAAACTCGACCAATAAACGGACTTAAGTTTTGTTTGAACCACTGCTGTTGTGTTGAAATGTAAACTTACTTTCCTTCGAAAGTGAAACTTTCATCGTTTTATTGAAAGCTCGCAATCATTATAAACACAGCCTTTTTACCGAGTTACGCACCACTAATCCCGAGAAATCTCCAAGGTTGAATCGTGGAAATTTAAGACGACCCCTTTATACCAAGGAGAGATAAGCGTATTTACAAAACAAATTCTAAAGAGCCGAGATTCTCTGTTATCCGGTATTATTGCGTCATTTATCAAGTAACCAACAAAGGAAATTTTTTTCCACCTTTTGATAAATTCCTTTCTTTGAATTTCTAAAGGTAATTTTCTTACAGCAATTTTGATCTGCCGCGGTCCTTGGGAAGTCTGTTAGTAGTAAGATATATCGAGACCTTTCACTGATATGTGCACTTTCCTTACTTCATTATACATATATTCTGTTCTTTTTCTTTACTTTATTATACATGTAAGGTATTCTTTTTTGTATCAACGCTGTATTAATGAGGTGCTCGTTGACTAAAATATAATTTCTTAGTCGAAAATTAACATTTAGGATTGGAAATACAGCAAAATGGTGAAATATTGTCAAAGGCCATTTTAAGGCTGACGATATTTTTGTCAGTAAGTTTCAGAAGTGATGGTGGGTCTCAGATAACAACCACCAACCAACAATTCAGAACAAAGTGAGACTGAAGGTATCGTAATTAAAGAAAACAATCACTTCGAATATGCCCATGGGATTGAATGGATATTACAGAAAATTTCAAAAGACTTCAGCTCTTGACAGCATGTAAACGTTCGTTTTGATTGTAATTAAATCACGTGGTGTCGTGCAAAAGAAAAACATCATCAAAGCACAGTTGATGTTATCGTATGCTGGCTTGGAAAGGGAAGCGTGCCTTTGTGTGTTTTTGTCGGTCATTGTGTTGTCTTTATACGATTTTCGACCAATAATATTTGAGCGGTGTTATTAATCCTTTTGACTACACACGGGAAAAGGCAAATGTTTTTTTTTGGTGAACTTCACAGAATTGAATGGAATGCTACAAATGTAACGTAGACGCTATTGTGTTTTTACAAGCATTGCACGACCTGCTTTTAGAAGTTGTGTGCTTGTCCGCATATATAGTACAAGAACGCGAGGATATTTAATGGGGAGAAAGATTCATTCCAAGCTTGACGACTTCTTATCTCCGTCAGTGGATATCACAGGAAAATCTGGTCCATTAACCGCACTATCAAATAGACCTTAGGATATCTTTTTTAACTGGATCATCACCACTGGCGCAGAGCATGAGAAGGGCAAATGGCTTGTACTCGATGACTGAAAGACATTGGCAATAAATCAGTGATTCACTTCCTCATGAATCGCTTCAATCCTTTTACGCAGAAATAATTCAAACAAGAGCTGAAATTCATTTTTTTATCTTCATCTAAAACCTTTTAAAAAATCGCTTTCCTATGAAATATAGAAGTTGGCAATTAAATTAAAGACAAGGATGGCGAAAAGGAAATCTTTTGTCAGCGTAGACACTTCCAAAAATTATGTCGAAGAGGACAACAGCTCGATTTTTACGAATTTTGAAACCACTTCATAAGCCTACTTCGCCAATAAGAAAATAACGTCAACTTCAGTAAAAGTTTTAGTAACAAGATATTCACGCCCGCACGAGATAGTGGGAGGCATTACTTTGGTGTGCGGTTTAGAGTGAGTTTTTTCCATTTCCTAAAATCCCTCTGCAATGCAAGCCTTACGGCAAAATCTAGTCGGGGCTCTATTTGTTTCTGAAAGTGACTTCATGTTGACATCTTGATATCTCTGATCACCCTTCTTCCGCGTTCATCGCTGCTTGAGACAGGATATCGATTTTTAATTTCTTTATTCGACATTAACTTTAAGTCATCTGTTTGACAGGAAGCGCTAGTGCAATTTATTTCATGCACGAATTTGAAATCTGAATTTAAAGTTAAAAGCATATGTTTTTTCTCAGCTTCGTTCTCCAGGAAGTTTTCCTTGCTAATAGTATATTCCGACCCAGTTTACGGATAAAAGTTTCATCATTTAACATCCCAGTATTTTTAACCCTTAGTTCTGGCGTAGAAATTACTATCAATCCAAAAAAAGGCTAATAATATTAAAAAGAAACTCACCGAGACACGCGACGATGCTTTAATACCGTATACTTTGATTCACATAATGAAAACACTACAAATATTTAAACAAGACTCATCTATGAAAAAAGCCGGTGTCTTCTTAAAGCAAATCTTTCATGTATCGAGCAAAGGAACCGCGCGTAAATAAATTGACCTGAAATAAAGCCTGGAATTACACAAGAAGAAGAAGCCTACCTTGCTCAAACTTAATAATTTGGAATTAGCGGATGTGGAAGTTGCAGTATGCAAAATGAGTTTTAACTAGTTTAGAATTGACCATTATTGGCGTCGGCAAATGATATGAAGGAACTTTCAGAGGTCTTCGCTTCGGGGATTTAAGATTTTGCAGCCTATTTACTCGGTCAGTTGCACTTGTGGATGGATCTACAGCCAGTTGTGAGAATTTGGTGTTAGATGAGAATAGCAAAAATCTAACTGATAAATTTGAGTGTTCTCATCCTCTGTTTGCTGGATAATGTTAGGGAAATTACAGGGAAAAGTTTCATGTTAATCTCTACTGGGAGTTAAAGGGTTAAGCACGAGAGCGACTAACTGTCAGTGCATTTTGCCAAAGACTTTCCAAATATATGTTCGTCATCTTGGCCAAAAAAATACTCAACAGCCAATCAGACTGAAGTCGATCCCAACGTTTTGCGTGATTTTTCGCAATTATGTATAATCTTCAGAGAATTATTTGTCGCAGTAAATTCTTATCAGCTAATATCAAGTCATCCCATGGGGAAATTTATTTCTTTTTGATCGAAAGTTATTGCTTCTGAATTACCTTCTTTCCAAAAACTAAGAAAAATTACCGTGTAAGGGGAAACAATTTTGTGGTCAGTCTTGTCAGATGAAAACAGAGTTCATCAAACTGTAGGAGAATCTTTCTTTGTTGTTGCTATTGTTGCAAAGACATCCCGTACCTCGTCAAAAGAATGCCTCTTCTGAATAATTGAAGACTACGCAGTCTTACCTTTCTTTCATAAAATTACCTTCTACATTAATTTTTCTATGAATGTGTGATTTTAAAACGGTAGACTGCAAGCATAATTTTTATGTCCTCATTAACGCTTGCTAAACAGATATTTTGAGTTTATGATGACTGGTATGTATAGAGACTTGAGGTTGTAACTTGGCAAGCTTCAAATCAGTTTTACGATACACAAAGCCTTACAGGCTCCTCTGACTTTCAAAGATATAGATACTTATTTTGTTTAGCATAGTCAATTTTCGGTATTTTATTTGTATTTCGAATGCTAAACGAGGAAAGAAAAATACAAACAGTGACACTGGAAAAGATGCCTTCAAAGGTAACGATTTAGGAAGGAAAATTACATGCTTTTGGGCATTCACTTGAGACGATGACATGTCAATGTGCATGTTTTAAATATAAAGAAAATTATTGTCGTCTATTATGTCCTCATTAACACTTGCTAAACAAATATTTTGAGTTTCGTGATGACTGGTATGAATAGAGACTTGAGGGTGTAACTTGGCAAGCTTCAAATTTTACAATACGCAAAGCCTTACAAGCTCCTTTGACTTTCAAAGATATAGATACTTATTTCATTTAGCATAGTCAATTTTCGGTATTTTATTTGTATTTCGAATGCTAAACGAGAAAAGAAAAATATGAACAGTGACACTAGAAAAGATGCCTTCAAAGGTAGCGATTTATGAATGAAAATTACATGCTTTTGGGAATTCACTTTAGAAGATGACATGCCAATGTGCATGGTTTAAACACAAAGAAAATTATTGTTGTCTATGGGCTATTAAGCAAATTGTGCAATCTTTCCTTGCCACGCCCTGAACAAGGAGTTACGTAACCCACAGCAGAGTGTAAAAAGTTTAAATCGCTCTGGACCTGGCACCCTGTCTACCATGAATAGTTTGCATGATTTTACTTCAAATTCAAAGAAAAGATCTCACTTTAGTGGCTAAAAAATGAGCTTCTGTAGAAAGTTTTCATGATTTTGCTTGGAGTATAAAGAGGGAAGCAGTTTTTAAGCGGTTGGTAGTTCTTTCGACGCCCTGGCCTGGTACGTTAGTGAGAGAGACATCTCTGAAACCATGACGAAGATTTATTTACTTATTTCTTTGGTCATTCTACTGTTCGTGAATGTGTGTTGGTGCCAGTGCCGTTGGGCAAACTGGCAGGGCTCGTTTGACAGAGCAGGATGGTCCAAGTGTGGATCAACTACTGAATACCTGACAGGTTTTTATCGAAACTCTAAGAGTGCAAGCGACCCTATTCATCTTCTGGATAAGGGAAACTGCTGCAATGCTCCTGCACCAAACCAGAATCGGGCTTCAACGTGCCAAAACGCAAACTGGTGGAAACAGTTGGACAGGTTTGTGAACAAGTGCAAAAAATTTAGACAGCATATTTCGTCGGCTTGCCCTCGACACTATGCCAGTCGTAGAAAAATAGCGAGGGGTTACCCAGAAGTATTTCACTTCTTAGGCATTCTTGTCTCCTGGGCGAGTTATGGTAAAATTTCCGCACAGCCCCATCCTACATTATGCTTCAGTTCTTAGATAGAGAAAACAATGACAAAAACAATACATTGCCATTGGGAAAACAGATTTGTTCTACAATAGTATAGGGCTGTGCGGAGTTATGTTAAGAGCGAATATCATCGCCCGAAAACGTAACGAGTAAGCGTGACCAGTGTTTAGTGAGGTTTTTCAAAATGCTCATCTGATAATGCCAGCTGTGACTAGCTTTTCTTCTTTAAATAAAACGCTTCAGTTATTCCCCGCGGGAAAACTTTCAACAATAAAGTTAAATGTTGCAGCCTCGTACTGCTTTATATTTCACGTGTCTTATAATTAGAACTTCAAAATTTTTATATTGTAAATGTGAAGAAAGTACGGCATTTTGGTGTCTATGCTTTACCAATGAACTCCTTTTAGTAATGTTTAGTTCTCTGGATTCACCGCTTTCTTCTTGGGTCAAGTAAAGGCTTGTTTGCTAAATCAGTCATCCTCATATCCTCATATCCACTTGTTCTCATTCATTTTTTTCAGGAATAATGAATGGGCATTTTGTCCGACAGGATACTTCTTGCAGGGATTATACCGCACTAGTAACCACAACATTCACAACATTGAGGAAGGTCGTTGCTGTAAACCCAATAACCTGCCAAACAGCTATCTCCACTGTTACACTCACGACGTCAGCAAATCATTCGACAACAAAGGCTGGAGTAAATGCGACAGCCAATACTACTTGAGGGGCTTTTACAGGGGAGGTTGCGATAAGTTGCACTGCATAGACCAATTCCAGTGTTGCATGATGTATGATGGCTGCAAATTTGCGAATTGGTGGCAAAGTTTTGATAGAAAAGGCTGGGCCCAGTGCGACTCTAAGCAATATATCACTGGACTTTGGAGAAATGTTAACTTGGGCTCAAGAGATCAAATCTACTTATTGGAGGAAGCTAAGTGTTGTTCAGCTCCTGCTCCATTCCAGAACGTCCAATCGACATGTAGAGAAGCCAATTGGTGGAGTGTTCTTGACAAGTAAGCGTACCATAATTTTAAAGTTTATCAAAGATTAATACTAGCAGGAATCGCGTGGTCTGTTACGAAGACCAGCGTACGCCTCGAGGTTACGATAAAAAAATGATACACTTGGAAAAAAACTGAAATTTAGCTAATTTGTACAATTTCGGATGCTCGTTTTTGCCGATTTGAAAACCCGCAGTGATTCAATCGTTTAGTTTCATTTTTTATTTTGAAAGAGCCTCTCCAACAATAGGATGGGAAATATGGTAAGTTTTAAGCTCGGTAAGAAATAGAGAAATGTTTTTCGTCTTGTCACGAGCGTGGTACAAAGAAAAAATTCTGAGACCCCATGAAGAAATGAACCTCAGACCTTCGGATTCCGCGCTCCGATACTCTACCACTGAGCTCATGAGGACTCTGAATTTTATCTTTTTCCCACGCTCGTGACAAAACGAAAAACATCTTTCTTTGTATCATACAATGTTGACTATTCGATATTAAAACACAAACTTCAGTTCTAACATGATTCTCCTCTAACTAGAACAAACACGTGGGCGGTCTGTCCACTTGGTTACTTCCTACGAGGCTTCTACCGAAATGACGGTGCTTGGCTGCATCACATTGAGTTGGGTAAATGCTGTAAGCCGAACACTTTCCCAGACAGGTATGAAGACTGCTACACCGAGAATGTCCGCATTTCGTTTGACAAAAGAGGTCTCAGCCAATGCAAAAGACAAGGATACTATTTAGCCGGAATTTACAAAGGAGGATGTGACAAACTGTTCTGTATAGAGTCTTTCAAATGCTGTAGGATGAATATAGGTGAGAGACAATTCTTAATCTCTCAATATTTCCGTAAAGAGCAAGTTACAAGGAAATGATTCTGTACTGAATTTTATTTATATACCACTTTGTAGATGAATGCAGAATTAAAAATCCTTGTCTTAACGGTGCAGTGTGCTCCGACCGACCAGGAAGTTACAAGTGTACATGTAAATCAGGATATCGAGGAAAAAATTGCGAAAACGGTATTTGCAGTATCATAGATCATAAGTGACTGAATTTCAAATCAAAGGGCGTAGCGTATCAAAGCCTAAATTATCTTGGATAAATTTCCAATGTTTTGTTGAGCAAAGTATACATTTTTATGGATCCGTGATGGGAGGGATGTGTAATCACATCACTCGGAGTTACTCCTTACTAACGCTAGACTATTTAAAAAGGCCAACAACATAGATGCATAAAAGAAAAATCCCCAAAATGTGGTTCGACTCCGCTTGACTCTAATGACGACCTCCGCTTAGGGTTTTAAACTTCAGTCACTATCACTACAACGTTTTTGTTCAGAACTACTCTCAGCCGTACGATCAGACTACACCACCACCTTTTAAACTAGCTTTTAAAATAATTGCTGTTAACACTGAAGATCGTTCATTAAATTCTTTCACAAATCCTCTGCCATTGAAAAATTCCTGTCCACTTTTGTACTAGTAAACCAATCGTGCGTTTAATTAGTGCCTTGACAAAGCGTTTACTTCAATCGACAGATGTAAACGAGTGTGTGAATAACCCATGCAAGAACAGAGCTGCCTGTGTCAACCTTAAAGGAAGTTATCGCTGCGATTGTAAATTTGGCTATATCGGAAAGAATTGTCAAATTGGTGAGATACTCTCTATTAATTTCCTTCAATCTTGTTGTGCAAATTGCATATGACTTTTTCTTTCCTTTTCAAATTTGTTATCCATTTATAAAGGAATTTTTGGCTTCGCTCGTCAAGAATCACTCACCAGGGCTAGAAAATATTGTACCGTACGATAATTATAACAAAATTAGTCAAATGCGTATCCTCCTCCCCATCACTTTCCTCCGACTGCAATTCTTTACTCGCGAGCTCGCTCCATCACAGAATTGGAAATAAAAGTGGAAAATTATTTGTCAAACTTTTGACGAAGACTTACTTAATATTTCTTTTTTTTTAAAATTATATTTCCATGGTGCAATATTTCGAATAGTCTAAAAAATAATTTTGAAGCAAAGGTATTATTTTTACAGACATAAACGAATGTACGAACAATCCATGCAAGAACAGAGCAAACTGTGTCAATCTCAAAGGAAATTACCGCTGTGACTGTAAAGCTGGATATACCGGAAAGAACTGTGAAACAGGTGTGATGCTGTGAATCTGATTTAAGACAGAAAAAGGATTCTTAGTGAAGACCACCAAAAAAAAGTGTTTCTCCAGTTTTATAGGGCATTAGATGTGGAATTAAGATTGGTATGCATTTTCTTTACTTCCTAGATGTGAACAGATAAATAATAAATAAATTATTAAATAATAATAAATAATTTATCTGTTGAATAGTAATTTATACATGATAAATACCTACTTTGCTTATTCGCGTATTTCAGCTGCTATAGAATACAAAACAAATTACCTTTACGAAAAAAAAACAATGGAATACAATTCGGGAAAATGGTCAATTTTATGCCCGCTCTTCCCATAAAAAGGTGCCTCGGGTATTTCTATAAAAAAAAATCGTCTTTTCCATAATAGAAAACTTTTCTATAATTAGAAATCATACAAAATCATCTGAAGCAATTGTAACATTTTCCCCAGATATAAACGAGTGCCAAAACAAACCGTGCAAAAATAGAGCCGCCTGTGTCAACCTCCCTGGAACCTATCGCTGTGATTGTACACCTGGATACACTGGAAAGAACTGCGAAACAGGTATACCTATACAAGGAATGTTGCCCTCTTTCGATAATGAAAACTGCTTTTCAAAAGTTTAAAAGATAACTCTTGAATATGTCTACCTGACATTTTTTATCTTGTTTCAGTTTGCTATTTGACTGGACAAAAACCGTATATGATTTTAAAATACCTTTGAGGAACAACGCTTGTTACACCCAAAACCATAATGGACTCATACTTATTTTAAATGGAATTAGAGCCTAGCTCAGGGGTATGCTTAAGCTCCTTTATATATTTGATATAAAAATTCATAAGTATTATTCTCCATACCCATGGAAGTATTAGAGGCAAACCAAATGCATGTTTTCCCTCGAATGTTCTTCATAGATGTCGACGAATGCGCTAATACCCCATGCAAGAACAGAGCTGCCTGTGTCAACCTCCCAGGAAGTTACCACTGTAATTGTAAATCTGGATTTACGGGGAGTAACTGTGAAACAGGTAACTCTTTTCCTAAAAAATTACATTGGATTAAGATATTCAGCATATTACTGAAAGTGCAAGCGGTAGTGACAAAAAAGAACGTGCCTTAACCAGGTTTTTTGATATTACAGACAAAACGCATCAAATTTAAATTCCGGAATAAATAGGTCTTCTTTTCTTAATCTTCATTTCTTTCATTCTCTTTTGAAAATAACTGCCATCTTCTAATTGAAACAGATATAAACGAATGTGCAAATAAGCCATGCAAAAATGGAGCTGCCTGTATCAACCTCTCAGGAACATATCGCTGTAATTGTAAATCTGGATACATTGGAAAGCACTGTGAAACAGGTAAACAATTGCAAGAATTGTTACCATATTTCAATAATAGGTACTGCATTTCAAGGTTAAAATAAGTATCTTCGATGTGTCTATTCGCCCCTTTAATTTTCGTTTCTATTTTAGACCACACAACCGCCGTTGAAAGATATTTTATCATACATTTTAAGACATCCCTCGTGAAAAAATCGTAGTCATTCATGTTACTAGAGGGTCTCAATGGGATTTACCGTTATCCGTAGTATGGCAAAAAAAGTAATAGCCCGTAGACTTTTAAAATTTCACTCCGACAAATCTTGCACTGTTGTGTCTTGCCTTCTTACCAACGCAGGAAAGCAGAAAATTACTCCTTATCACACCAGCGGCAGCTCGACCTAGAATTTCCCTTGTTGCTTGACTCTAAGGGTAAAAGCGAACAAGTAAATATGTTTTAAATCAATGAAAGTTCCAAGTTATCGCTCCAATTGCAAATCAAAATATACAGGAAAAAGACGCGAAACAGGTAGCTCAATTAATTAAAAATTTTCTCTTTGCGACAATGATGCCTTTTTACTTCCATTGCAGATATAAACGAATGCAATAATAATCCATGCAAGAATGGAGCGACCTGCGTAAATCTTCCAGGAAGTTATCGCTGTAATTGTACGCTAAAATTCCGTGGTACTCGTTGCGACATCTTAGCAGGTATACACCTCGCCCCTTCCTTCTTCTTTCATTTTGTAAGATCCATAAGGCATATTAAAGCGTTATCACTTTGCATGACCTTCATAGCATATTTTCATATTTTTTCTTTCAAAATTGTATAAATCCGCTCTGGTGTATATCTCATTTCAAATAAGAAATGTCCAGCGGGTAAAACATGACCTTAAACTTGTCTTTTTCAGCACCCACCGATCAATGCGAGGACTAATCTGAATACTATCGAAGGTAAAATACAATTTTAAATTATACGAAAGAAACTTTTCTGTTAGTCGGTACATGATGAATAATATATCTTCTCTGCAAAAATCTATAATCTCAACAAATTATGTTATTCTTCTTTAAAAAACAAAATCTATTTTGTATATTTGAAAATATCAACAATCCAACTCGTGTCTGAAAAGATCGTTAAACAGGTACATTGGCTCGAACCACTGGTTTTAAGTTATGAACTCCCAAACTCCAGAAAGAAACGTAAAACTACAAGAAACTTAAAAGTTGTTTATTATAATTATGCAATTTATGAACATTCTCCTTTATATACTTTTTCAGTGTGTTACTCGCCAGTTCTTCCAAGGATTGAAGAAACAAGAAAATTGTCCACAATTGAAATCTTAAGTATGAAACATGTAATTGAATACACAATAAAACAGTGTTTAACTTGACATTTACTAGTTGTGCTCTCTTTGTTATAATCCGTCCCCCGATCCCATTCTTTTATAGCTGCCTTTGAAAATATTTTTGTGGCCCGTTAAAAAATGAAAAACATTTGTATAAATACTTAGTTATACGTTTGCCTGACACTACTTCAGTCTCCCCCTTTTCGCTTGGAAACTCGTGGTCGGTCCCCAGAGTGGTAATAACATTCAACTCGTTGATTTCCAATTCTCAAATTTTCCCATGCAAGGATCCTTTGATCAGCTCCGCTTTAACGCCATTTTATTGAAGTCGCGGAGCTCATTAACTTCATTCTTCAATTTCCTCGTCTGACTACGGATCTTTTGAAAGTCTTCTTGTGTACGAGCCACGAACTCTCTTATTTCTCTCAAATCATTTTCGCATTGTGCTAAATGATCACCGATAGCTTTCCTTTCCTCGTCGACAGTTTTCATAAGTTTCTCAGGAAGCTTTCCGCCTTCGAATTTCTTTACAGCGTCCATAAAATCACGCGATCTGGTTCTAAGCAAAGGCGCAGGCTTCGCTTTGTTCGTCGGTGTTCCAGAATCTTTCCTCACTGGTATTTGAGATGAGCTGCCCCGCAGGCTGTTTCTTTTACCTATTCTTGGGCTACTCATGGGACTTGACTCTCTAGATGAAGGCCTCGAAGGAAGCTTTCGGGGTTGCGAGGGAGACAAACTCATTACTGATGCTTTACAGACAGCCTCCTAGAAAAAAACAAATTATCATTTTTGTGAACGTGCCAGGGTTAAGGTTCAATAATTTTCATCTAGTTGATGTGAGAACTTAAATGTGTTGGTCGGTGAGAGAGTGATGAACAAAGTTGGAGAGTTAATTTTGTAGTTGTTATGGAATATTGGCGTCTGAATCAAGTGTACTCAAGTGAGTATTGTGATTCTGTCCCTCCACCTAAGGCAGTTTAAGCCTTTGTGAATAAACTGTTGTTTAATACTACTTGAAATACGCGTCTGCGATAAAGTATTAACTTACCTTCTTTTACAGAAAATTTACTCGCGTGATTTCCGCTGAAGAATTGGTCAAACTTCGTAGGATTTACAATCAACCGAAATGATCAGGACCGAGTTGTATTCAGTGTACGTCGGCTTCGACCACGACTGAGGGTAACATGTAAACAAGACTTAAACAAACCTGCGATAGATCCTTTGTTTTCGACGACACACTTGATCGCCAAATTGAATAACAATTAATTGAAGGACTTGTTTGCATAACAAAATTAAGAAAAGTGGCTGTTAAAAAGCCTTATTTGAACGTCAAGGATACAGTCCAAGTGAGTTTTCTTGAAAAGAAATTACTCCAATGCTTTAGGCCGTAAAGTGAGCGGCAAGCCAACTAAGAATTTTTAATGAGCTTGCAGTCTGTCGGTCGACAGTTGAACAACACATATCCAACTTTGCACCTACACCGACCCAAACATTTGGTAACGACGAAAGAAAAATGTATGGCGTAACCAATATAGTAAATTTTTCGACGCATTTTTTTTTTCAATGTTTCTACTTAATTTGGGGGATTTTGTTGTGTTTTGAAAAGATTTACTTGACCCCCTCATAAGGCTCTGTAATATTTTTAATTCCCCCCCTCCATTGGCGGTTAATAGTATAGTCCCCCCTTTACAATCTGTTAGCGACGACAGATCCCCCCAAAAGAACCGTATGATCGCCCCAAAAATCCTCTACCCATCCCGAATTTTTCCTTAGATCTGTTATACATCGCGGTGTGATTAGATAACCTGAGGAAAATTCAGGCAAAGGTAATGAGAATAGGAAATCCCACACGAAATGGACTTGCGTTCACGCTATTTCCTATTCACTTACCAAAGCCTTATACACCATACCTTGGCCTTACAGTAGGAGCTAGAGAACAATAGCGATCAATCCTTTCTGGTAGGCTGAATTTAGTATTTATTTAGATATAAGATATACTTATTAAGATTTTATTGTTATAATTTTAAATTATAGAATATTCCATATCTAGTTTTTTTTTTTTAACTCTTAACTTTATTGTGTTTGTGGAATACCTTAATTAGCTGGCGTGCTTTTACAGACCCCGATTTCGGTTCCGTCTGTGAAAGCACACCATTATTGTAGCTAAGTGTATTTTCAAAATAAACTCTTATTGTATTGTATTGTATTGTAGTTCTACAGGCTCGATTCCAAAAGCTGGATGTACGCACAGCTAAGAACCGTGAGAGCGAGGTTCAGCCCGCTTTCGGAAACTCGGGTATGGACTACGCTCTAATTACCAGTCTGTTTGTCGGTCGCGCTTCGACCCATGAGGTGCCTGGCTGTTTCGGTTTTTACAAATTTGGAACATTTCAATCTTTAGCACTCGTTTTTTACAAAATTCAGATAAAATAGAATCAAAGGAGATTAAGTGGAATTTTATCTGCAATGAAAGCGATTCGCGTACTATCCTTTGGAGGACCCGAAGTACTGAAGTTCATGTCGGATGTGAAGGTTCCAAGTGTTTCAAATGGGCAGGTAAACGTTCAAATAGTATTCTCCTTTTTTTATGATTCTTTTCTGATCTACATAACTTAAAGAAAATAGTTGTTTAAGGGTGTGCTTCTCCAGGCCCTACACCCGTTCTCTATTCATTCTCCTGCTTTCGGAGGCGTGGGTGCTGTGTGCGGTTTAATTATTGATCGTTTTAGAAAAATAATTCTCTCGTCACATATAGAAAGGGAAAACTTCAAATCTGTCTTCTTATGTGCAATATTTTAGGGAAATCTTGAGGTTTTCATGGGTCACGTATATTTCAGGAGGTAAAACACGCCTCACACACAAATCACGAATCACACTCGCCTTTCTGTAAAATTCACACGTGACATTTTAATCTTTGCCTTTGTAATCACGCTTCACGTAAAATTCCTTTGCATCCTCTTTTAGGTCCTTGTCAAAATTAAGGCAATTGGGATCAATCCTGTAGACACTTACATAAGAAGTGGAACTTACGCCAGGAAGCCAGATCTGCCTTACACTCCGGGTTCTGATGGTGCTGGTGTGGTACACAGTGTAGGAGCAGATGTAACCCAAGTCAAAGTGAGTTTTTAGTTATTCATAGTGGCCAAAGTACTTTATTTATTTACTTACCTTTTTTCGGCTTTTGTATTAATTTTATGTATGGTGACTCAAACTTGAAGTATGTTACTGATGACTCTTACTGAAACTGATCTGTTGTAAAAATTACTAGATTAAAAAAGGCTTAAATAGTGTGATTTATTCCATGTTTGATGCAGATTTTTAAAATTAATTTTGTTTTGATGTGTAAAGGTGGTGAGGTGAAAGTATATCTTATGATTAAGTCTAGACAATGTGGTATTACTACCATAAATTTTAAGAAGTTTTTTGTTTCTATTGTTTTCTTTCAAGTAGAACAAGGAAATCATGAGCAATAGGAAACTTCTGTGAACCAGTACCATAACCCATTTCAGAAAAGAAAGATGTTATTATTTTTGCTCCAAGCTTGATTAGTTTGTCTTGTTTAGTTTTATGATTATTATTTTGGCTGCAAAATGAAGACCTCTATCAGGTGTATGGAATTGAATTTCTGATATTTCATACTAATTGTTTCACTAGGAAGGAGACCGTGTTTATGTCTGTGGCAGCATAACAGGGACATATGCAGAGTTTGCCTTGTGTAACAGTAGCAATGTTCATCTTTTGCCAAAGAATATTTCCTTCAGTCAGGGAGCAGCTATTTATGTGCCATATTACACGGCTTACAGAGCATTAATACAAAGGTGTGTAAATTACAAAATTACAAATATTGGAAAAATAAAAGGAAGCTGCCATAGACATAATTAATAAGATCATTATGAGAATTAGTAGTGGTTAAGGATAGAAGGCAAAGCTATAGATAACAGGTATTGAGATACAATATTGAAAAGCAGCCATGGTGCTAATAAATTATTTTAAACACTCCCAAACCTAGAGGATAATTATAGAAACAAAGTTAACTGATGTTTACCAAACACATCCTAAATAATCCTCTATTTAGCCCAACCTTTTATCTCGCAGGGAACAAATTTTTTTGTGAACAGTGTCAAGAGGGCCAAAAGCTAACTGTGTAAGCATATTTATTTAATTAAGTCAACCCTCTTAAAGAGAGATTGCGAGGCCCACTGATTGTGTAAAGCCATGGTTTGGGTTAGACCTTTGGTAAATAACCAGCCCAAGGGAAAGAATGAGACACACAAAATTCACATACTGGTCTTTTTTTGGGACAATGTATTATGCTCTGTAATGATCAATATTATTAAACAGAAAACAAATGTATATGATTGTATGCTCAAGCAATTTAAATTATTGTTATTAAGTCTATCTCACTTTTTTGCAGATTACATGCGAAGGCAGGGGAGACAGTCTTAGTCCATGGAGCAAGTGGAGGGGTATGTACATCAGAAATGTTTTTGAATGTAGAAAAAATATTAGAACTATCAAGTTTATAATAAGATTAGTGATGAAAATGTTTTTGTTATTGTGCTCTTTTGTATGTTGATTTCTGTGTTGATCACTCTAAGTCAATTCTTCTCTTGAAAAAATACATTTGTCAGATTATTTTATTATTTATCCCTAAGCTACATGTACCTCCTTGAAAATCAGAAAATCATGAACATTTAATTGATTTAATTCTGAAAAGTCAGTTGTATATTGATCAATCATAATTAGTGTAGGACACACAAGCAAACATCAGTACCACAAAGCAACAAAAAATTACGTTTAATGTTGTGATTTGTGGTTTATTTTTCTGACTGGTGTTTTCCATGAAACAAGGCTTTTTTGAGTATTGCATTAATAACCTTGCAGCAAATAACTTCCTACACCAGTAAGATTTGGTTATACTGAAAATAAACTTAAGAAACCTTTGTTAGTAGTGATCCAACTGCTACTATGTTAAGGGAATGTGACTGCTACCCAGCAAATAAATTTTTTCCTTATAAGATATTTAATATGCAATGAGACTTTATTTGTTTGAGACTTTATTTAAAGAGGTCGACACATGACAGCTTTTGCTGAGAACGCTGTGGCCCTCTAATGTAACAACCTTTGTCTCATGTTGAATGGCTCTAGGTTGGCATAGCTACTGTGCAGCTAGCCAAGGCATATGGATTAAGGGTGTTAGGAACAGCAGGGACAACAGAGGGGGAGGAGGCAGTGAAACAGGCAGGGGCCTCAGAAGTGTTCAATCACAGAGAAGATGGATATGTTCAAAGGATTCTGGTATCAAAGTTTAACTTTTGATCAATTGTGTTAGACTGTAGCTTTTGAGAAACTTTACTGTGTGTATCTCATGTACTGTTCAACAAATAAATCAATAAAGTTACTCATCCTAAATTCAAATTTGATTTTCATAAAATATTTAATGAAATTTTCAACAGGATGCAACTGGTGGACATGGTGCAGATGTTATTGTTGAAATGCTGGCAAATGTCAGTTTGGCCAAAGATCTTCAACTTGTTGCCATCAAAGGCCGCATAGGGGTATGTCAGCACTGCTTGTGACAATGAAACCATCTGTGCTTAGTTGTTTCCAAGTTAATCAGTATCAGAAAAAAATTTGTCAATCAATATATGAAACAATTTGTCAATTAAAGGCAAATCAATTTACCTGCCAGTCAGTTAATCAATCAATCTATGTATCTTTGAAACCCTTTGTCAATCAATTGCCCAGTCAACCAATTGATCAATCAACTCATCAATGGATTGATTGATCAATAAGTTAATCAATCAAATAATCAATCAATCAGTCAGATTGTCAGTCAGTCAGCTTGACAGTCAGGCAGACCACAGGTCAGCAAATCTGTCTATCCATTCATGCATCTACCAGTCAGTCAGGTTTACAGCCAGCTAATTAGTTAGTCACTCTTTTTTATTTTGAAATTGTGCAAGAACAAAATGTTTATTTCTTCAATTTATAATTGCTGTTATGGTCTCCCAGCTTAGGAAAAGATGAAAATTAAGGCCTAAAATCAGTCTTGGTGTGAACCTTTCAGGTTGTTGGCAACAGAGGTACAACTGAAATAAATCCAAGAGAAACCATGGCTAAGGAATCCAGTATTGTTGGTGTTATGTTAGGTAAAGCTGGTGAGGTAAGAAATACATCAAAGAGTCATTTTAATGCTAACCTATAA